CCAGCCTGCACGGCCGCGTGGGCCCCACAGGGCAGGCCGTAAACGCGGAGCGGAGCGGAGCCGCCCCTCGCTCTCGAAAACCTGAGACCGCCTGGCACTGCGGGCACTGGCGAGGGACCCCCGCCTCGGAGAACTCGCCCTCAGCAACCAGGGCGGCCTTGGGGGCAGCAGGGACAGAGGCGGCCACGGCCCCGGGCGGGGGTGGAGCTGATGCCTTAAGCATGGCCACTGCCCCCCAAACTTGGCCGGCATGAGGGTGGCCCATCCTGGGGGGTGCCCTGGCAGCAGGACCAAACGGGAAGTGGCCAGCCAGCCTCACCCTCCAGGCCACGGCAGGCGCCAGCCCCCGCCGGGCAGCACGGCCACAGGCCTCCTCACAGGCGAGAAAGAGGTAAAAGGCCTCAGGACACAGAACAAGTACTTCTGCTTTCAGGCATGATTTTGTTTACACAACACAGTAAGGGCTCGATTAAAAACTAGGTGAACAACATGGGTGAGTTGGAGATGGGAAACCCAAGGGGATTGCAACTGAGATGGCAAAATGCACAGAAATATGTAAAAATAAACTACTACTAAAGAAACAACAACAACTAGGTGAACAGACCCTGGCCAAGTTGCAGGACACAGATCAACACAACGTCAGTTGCGTTTCTGCCCACTCAAAAAATCAACTTAGAATATAACAGGGGGGTCTCCAGGAAAAGGGGAAGTTCCAGCTCCCCTGCCCCACCCAGGAGGGCAGAGCTGAGCAGAGAGGAGTCTGAGGAGGAAGGAAGCAGGATGGAGCCAGAGGAGCCCTGTGGGGGACAGGCGCGCAGATGGGAAGAAGCGGCTTCGCCTCTGGCCCTGGTGCGTGAGACCCGCGGGGGAGGGACCCGCGGGGGAGCCCTCCTTTATCTTGATTTAGATGCTGCTCTTTTCCTCCCAGGCTTGTCGGCCACCACCGACCCTTTTCTGTGGGGCCCGGCCAGGAGGTGCCCTGCACTTGTGACAGGCTTTCCGGCCTTGCTCTGGGCCAGTCCCCTCGGGTGGCCTCTTACCCACGAGGGGCCGGGTGACTTGGGGCGTTTGAGTCAGAAACTCTATTCTTTGCCTTTCCCGCGCTGTAGACTCACTGTATTAACGCTCCTGTCCGTTAAAGCTCTTACGTTTTGCCTTGATTCGGCGGATGGCAGGTTTGGGGGTTCGGGGGTGCCCCCTCCCTGTCCTGTAACAGTAAGAGGGTTGTCAAAAGGGCTCGGTGTGAGCAGAGGAAGGTCACGTGCCGAGGACCGGAAGACACTGGACCCTGGCGAAGGCGAAGCGCGGCCCGAGCCGGAGGTTCCCGGCGACGGAGGTAGGAGCGCGGGCGGCACAAGACTGACGGGGTGCACGGCGGGGACGAGAGGGAGGGACCCGGGCGGCCACGGTGGAGGCAAGGTCCTCGGGCGCAGAGGTCCCAGCAGGTGACAGACTGCTGGGGGGTGCCTGAAGCTCAGACCCAAGTGTCAAAGATGAGGACAGGGAGAGGAAGCTCGCCGGCGGATCTCCGGCCTCTCGGACTCTTCCAAGCCAACACACCTAGCCACTGGAGGGGCCCCCCCAGAGACGCTGTCTGTATCCGCGCAGCTCTCACCAGCCCGGCAGCCGCTCCTCTGCCCACCTGTGCCTGTGCAGGTGCCCACCTGTGACCTGCCGTCTCTGCCCGCCTGTGCCTCGGCAGGCGCTTCTTTCCACGCGCTCTCCCTCTGCGGGGCAGCAGCCGCCTGCCTGCCCGTGGCCTGCACCTGCCGCGACTCGCCGCCCTGACCCGCAGGGGAGGCCGCTCTCCTGGCCGCCCGCCTGCAGCCACGCAGGCCTCTCTCTGCAGGCCCGTCCCTTCCGGGCAGCTCCGCCTGCCGCCTGTGCCCACGAAGTGCCTTCCCTCTCCTGCCCTAATAAAGGGGTTCTTCAAATACAACCGAGTCTCTGTCTCGCGGGGACAGCGCCGCGTGCCGCTGCAGCCTTTCCCAGAGTGAGCCCAGGGACCCCGAACTCCAAACGGCGACATCACCGGGAAGCGGGGCTTCAGAATAGACCGTCTTGAGACAGAATCAAGCTGGGAGGCTCATCCCCCTCGTTTAGAGCCCGGCACTGAGGTAAGACACCACAGGCGCACATCAGTGACGGCTCGAAGACTCGCCCCAAGCCAGGGAGCGAAGCACAGACAGCGCCGGACTTGCCAGCGGAAAAGCTCCCGCACAGCGAGGGGCGTTCCCAAAGGCGGGGACCCCGGCTGGGAGAACGTTCTGTTGGCTGCCCCGAAGATCACAGGAGCCCCGAGGACCCAACAAAACAAAGTAAACAACCCAGTGAGAAATCAAAAGACGCCTCGCCAAGGAGGACATGCAGACGGCCGGCGGGCCCAGGGCAGGTGGCCACCCCGCCCCACCAGGGCGACCACACCCGAGCCGGGCGCACAGCGCACACCGGC